CCTTTTTCTTATACCTTCATTCCCCAAATATATATAGATAGCATTGAATCATCTAGACCTAATCATAATTAAAGAGGATATGCAGGCTGTACACAGCTGCGCCCTGCAGCCAAGGCCCAGGGCTGAACCAACTGGGGCCTTAACTCTGGCTGGCACCCTTCTCTGCAATCCAGCTCGCTTCCTACAGAGACAACACTTGGGATCCTTAAGAGTTAAGCACAGCCAGGCACAGAGATTGTATGCCTGTAAGCCCAGCACCTCAGGAATCTGAGGCAGGAGAATGGAAAGTTTGAGACCAGCCTGGGAAATTTAGCAAGACCCTCCTCTCAAAATAAAAAATAAAAAGGACTGGGGTTGTAGATCAGTGGAAGAGTACCCCTGTACCAGGGAAATTAAACGCTGTGCCTGGGGTGCCCTAAGCCTGGGTAGGAGATTGTGGGGGTGTCTCAGTTCGAGCTGATGTTTTCTTCACATAGCCCTTGGTAATTTTTCCACTCGCCTGCGAAAGCTCTTCAGTGGTTGCTCCAGTGGGCCCAGGCTCAAGCTTCTTTGGTGAAGAAGCCTGTGGAATGCAGGCTCTCTGGCAGCTGGTATTTCCCCCTCCCTGAGAAGCGCCTTCCTTTTCCATCAGCACAAAGCAGACAGACACCAGAAACTGGTGTTTCCTGTCACCATCTCACCTGGTACTCCTATAACTGGTGGAATGCTTTACAAATACTTTTCTTGGCCCCGGAAGTGGAAGGAAGTTTGTGGAGAAGCTGTTCTTAATTTCTCACTTGCTGGAAAATTACCCCAAACAGAAGGAGGCACGGAAACTGTGCAAATTCCATTGCATTACTGAGCAGAAGCTACCAGAGCCCTCAGACCAAGTGAGAAACATTCCTAGGGGACAAAGTATTTAATTCTATTTTTATTTATTTTGTGGTGCTGGGGATCATACCCAGGGTCTCATGCATACTAGGCAAGGCGCTCTACCACTGAACTATATCTCCAGCTCAACACTATTTTAATTTTAAGGTCACTCTTATCATCCCCCATTCTCTGAATCAGTAGTCCCCAAAGGGGACTGAAAGAAAGAGCCAGGCAGGAACTTTGTTGCTGAATACAGGGATTCAGTTCACCTTGGGAAAGGTCTAAACTTTGAAAGGCAGCTGTAAAGTAATCCAAACCGTTTGTGATCCTCAATGCCTACTTGTTAGTACCAGTGATTGAAACTACTGTGCCACATCCCCAGCCCTTTTTTTGTATTTTATTTAGAGGCAGGTTCTCACTGAGTTGCTTAGGGCCTCACTAAGTTACTGAGGCTGGCTTTGAACTCTCGACCCTCCTGCCTCAGTCTTCTGAGCTGCTGGGATTACAGGCATGTGCCACCCTTGCCCAGTTGTCCAAAGGAGGATGAGACCCAGGGCCTGGTGCCTGCTGGGCAAGCACTCTACTACTGAGCTACATCCTCAGTCCACAGACTGGCTATCTTAAGATAATTTTGCTTAGTTTTTTGGACATTATAGGTTAAAAGGGTGGGTGGGGGGATGCAGGCAAGAATTCTGTCCCTGCCGAAAGAGTCTAGTTTCAGACATGAGACACCATACCTAAATAATTTGTTTGGAAGGAAGCTTTGGCAACCGTTCTAACTTGCTGGCAGAGGAAATGGGCCCCATTTTTCACCACAGGTGGCCCAGCCAACAGCACCAGGAGGAAACTCTCTTCTGTATCTGCAGGTTTATCCCTAAATGCTGCGGAAATAGCAGCTGCCAGAGTAAGGAGAATACAAAGTACAGTCTTTTCAAACTCTTGAGTAAGATGGATATCACAATCATGACCTAAAAAGGCAAAGACTAGATATTCTGATGCTTGCTGCGGATGCAGCTTGCACACACAGCAGGATATGTTGCCACTTGGCCATTTCATTAGTCAGCCCACGTCGGGTGACACAGCAACCCTCCAGGCCTGCTAGCCACAGACTCCGGCTCCAGAAAATGATAATGAACACTTCACATTCCCCACCGCCATGTGGCTTACAGAGCCATACACATGACTGGTCTCATGTGACCTTCACAGCCCTATTAATTATAATCCCCTCTCACAGATACTGAAAGCTGAGACTCAGAGGATCAATGACTCGCCCAATGCCAAGGTGCCAGAACCAGACCTGACAGCAGGACTTCCGTGGAAGTTTGCCTACCCTGTGTGCTTTCAAATGGACACATTCTTCATAGGCCACTTCTCCCAAGCCTGATTGTGTAAGTGAGAAGGCAGAGAAGTGGTAGGTAAATCATCTATCACAGCCTTCCAGGGTGGGAAATGAGGAAGTGTTTCTTTGTCTATTGGACTGATCCCTGGCTGCCCTACTGAAGTGGGGGAGCTGGTGACGATAAACAATGAAAACTGGGCAACGATGTTGAGGCCAATCTAACGGAAGTGGTGCCATAGACCTTCCACTGTTGAAAGAGATATCAGACTTCTCAAAAAAAGTTTTTGTTGCAAAATGCCCACCCTGTAATGAAGAAAACAAGATTAACTTACTGTATACAGGAGAGGAATTGCTCGTTGGTCACATGGGAAAGCAGGATGTGACTGAGACAGGAAGGGTAGGGAAGGGAAAGGTAATGGGGTAGAAACTCAGAATACAAGGAGATACCAAACGAGAAGCAGAACCCTTTATACATACTCAGAGAGGCTGCCCCACCGATGGACAGGCCAGCACCTGGCTTGTGATCTGCCTCAATGTCCTCTTGTGCATTGCTTCCTTAGATGGCCAGGGAAAGGGTCTCTACCTGCTTCTTCACCAGGAAGCAGGCAGTCACTGGAAGGGGAGCCTAAAAAGTTCATGGGCTTGCTAATTCTTTCCTATAGTCCCTTCTGTTTTCTGTCAGCAGTAGGGAAAGACATTCTAGCAAATGACATCCAGTAATGCTTTAATTAACTGCAGTATTTTGTGCTCCAATATGCACCAAGAAATCACTTCCAGATGGGCAAAATGAAAGATATTTACACAAAAAGTAATTCCTTTATTTTAAAGCAATTTAGATCTCCCAAAGGTGTAGAACTCTGAGGGTCCAAGAAGCTATTTTGATGAATGCTAGGATGGGACTGGAAAATTTTATTTAATATATAAAATGCAATGGTATTCCTTACATCTGCATGGATTTTCATGAGTCCATGTTTCCAAGGCTAGTGCTTAAATGGCCCAATGCAGTCAGTTCTAACCATTTTATTTTTAGGAATCTGACTTGGAGTAGACAAAAAAGTGTGGAACGCTTGCCTTCACCTTCAAGCAAGTTAGTTATTTTGAGACTTTTCTTCCTAGGGAGAGGAATTACATTTCCAGCTGTTCACTTCTGGCATTTCCCCTAGTATTCTGTAAACAGGGAACCAAGCTTCCTTGTTCAACAGCAATTCAGGAAGGAGCCCGTGGAACATCCCCCACATCGGGCAGCAGCCTTGGGCCTGCTCTCCCACCCTGTCTGCCCTGTCATTGTTACATCTGTTTGATCTACACCAAGGCACTACCTAGACATGAGAAAATAGGCACCTTCTGTGGGTGCTGGGCAGAGTCTTGGGTACTGGCTCTTTGTTCTGCCAGAGAGGAAGGTTTTTATTTTTGCTTTTCAGCACTGGGGATTGAACCTAGGGCCTCACACACTAGGCACCACCAGAGAGGAAGGAGCGGCATTAGCTTCAGTTTCAGAACCCAACTTGGAGATGGAAACTTCCCTGTCTATTGTAGCCCCCGCTTCACGGGTATAGTCCAAACAGGACTTCTCCACCCTGGCACCTCTAAGCCAGCTCTCCAGGAAGCCTCTCCATAATAAGAGCAACACTGAATTCTTTAGCGATTTATAATTTATCAATATTTATTTTAACCACGAGGAGACTTCAAAGTTGTTTTTGTTTTTAAAGAGGCTAGAGAGCTGTATGCAATGGCGCACACCTGTAATCCTAGCAGCCTGGGAGGCGGATGCAGGAGGATTAAAAGTTCAAAGCCAGCCTCAGCAATTTAGTGAGGCCCTGTGTCAACATGAAAAATAAAAAAGGTCCGGGGATGGGGCTCAGTGGTTAAGCGCCTGTGAGTTCAATCTCGGGTATCATCATATATATATATATATAAAAAATTAAATAGGCTAGAGAAAATAGGGGAGGAATGGAGATAATATTCAAGGTTAGTTGAACTACAGTTATCAGATGCTGCTTTAATCAATCGCTACTCCTTATGTACATTGCCATCATTTTTGGGAGGTACCGGGGTTTGAACTCAGGAGACCTCAGCCACTGAGCCACATCCCCAGGCCTATTTATATTTTATTTAGAGACAGGGTCTCACTGAGTTGCTTAGTGCCTCACTGTTGCTGAGGCTAGCTTTGAACTCGGGATCCTCCTGCCTCAGCCTCCCAAGCCACTGGGATTACAGGTGTGACACTAAGCCCAGCTGGAAGATTGTGTTTTAATGTGCAGGTTTCTGGATCTCTTCTCTGTATATTCTAATCCAGTGGGCCTGGGCAGGAGACATTTTTAAAAAATAGGAACCATTTGGGAAACACAGTGTCAAAGGTCTCCTGTTGGAAGCATTTCATGGGCACCCAGTGCCTTGTTCCTTCTGTCAGTTTTAATTTTCTTTTTTTGTATTGGGAATTGAACCCAGGGGAGTTTTACCACTGAGCTATACCCCCAGCCCTTTTTATTTTTTGAGACAGGGTCTCACTAAGATGCTTAGGGCATACATTTTTGGAATTGGCCTTGAACTTGTGATCCTCTTGCCCAAGCCTCCTGAGTCACTGGTGTTACAAGTGTGTACCACTGCACCTGGCTATGTATGTTATTTTGAAGTGGCAATAATAAATAAAGCTTCTATTTGAGGTTTGGTCATCAAAAGAGGAAGACTATTCATCAGTACTGAATGAGAGTGAAACTCCTGGCATGTCCTAAATGAGTTTGAAACTAAAGCTGCTAGCTATAAGCAAAGACCACTGTACTGTAGTTACACTTGGAGAACCAGAAAAATATACATTTATGAAAATGGGCTACAGGAACCCTTTAATAAAGTAAATTTCTCTGTATTGCAATGGTTCTTAGCAAAGAATAAACCTCACACAGTCAGTCATCTATATCTGTGGATAGACAACCGTGGATTCAATCAAAAGTATTTGGAAAACAAACAAACAACAACACTTAAACTGTGCCTACATGGAATAAGTACAGATCTTTAAATAACACAGTACAACAACTATTTGTGTAGTATTTCTACCAAGTTAGGTATTATAAGAGGTCGAGAGATGATTTAAAGTATACAGGAAGATGTGTTTAAAGTGTAGGCAAATGCTATGCCAGTTATATGAGGGGACTCAAGCATCTGCAGATTTTGATATCCACTGGAGTACAGGGAGGGGGTTCTGGAACCAATCCTCCGTGGATACTGACAGACAAATGTAATCACCTATGGAGCTTTTAAGCCTACACGCCAGGCCCCACTGCAGACTTACTAAGAGTCAAAATCTCCAGGCATCTACAATTTTTTTAAAAGGGCCCCAGGTGATTCTGATGCATACCCCCAGGTGAGAAACATGCTGTCTCTCCAAGATGCACACCCGGTATTCAGTCCCCATCAATGAGACACTGAACATAACTCCAAATGACATCTGTTGGCTCCTTGGGGATTTCTGACAATGTAATAAATCAGGAAAGCAACTTCCCTGGCGGTGACCACCAACTGAGAAAAACAGCAGTCTGACATCTCAATGCCATTATGGAGATGTCCAGAAAAATGACTCCTCATGAATGAACTAAAAAGAGAAGTGTGGATCTGTAAACACTGAAGAGTGACAAGAACCAGGTGCAGGAGTCCACTGGCTTTCCCAGCTTCCCTAGGTCGATGACAGACGGCTGAATTGGCTGTGCTGTTTGGAGACTGGCCCACCACCCCTTCTTTCAATTAGTGCATATAACCTTACCAAAGCAACATGATAGCACAGAGGAATCCCTCTTAGACTGAGCCTCCCAACCCCCTCCCCACTCCTCCTGCACTTCTCTAATCTTGAATCTTCTAACAGAGCTCAACTAAAGGCCATATCTCTTCACTACTGATTTTCTTCTTAGTGTTTTCAATACTTAAGCATTCTACTAATTAGCAAGGACAGGCTGGAAGCTGATGAAGAAATGAGGCTCTGTAGCTGGGGATGTGGCTTAGTGATAGAACATGCCTTACCCAGCATGCCTGAGGTCTTGGTTTCCATCTCCAGCACAGGGCGGAGGTGGGGTTTCAAACCTGGAACTAATGGACAGAGGTGGGGAGGGAGGGAGGGAAACAGTGTGGAATAGTATACTGGAAAAACAAGATGGGGACAAACAGCCAATGTTTCTCACCAGCTTTTCAAACCTTAAAGTTTTCTCCTGTATGGCCGTCACAAGTTTTACAGATTTTCAGAAAACTTCCTCTGTCCTAAAAACTCAGTTCTGAGCATTATTTGATAATCCAATTTGATCCTGAGGCCTGTTACACACTTCCTCTATAGAGAGCTCCACCTTCCACCTCAGGGCTCTCCCCAATGGTGGCCACCCAGAGGTCATGGTCATGGTTAGATGAGCCTTGGGTTCAAGCAACCCAAGAGAATTAGGGAAACTACCTGGTATGGTGCCTGTCCTCTGTATGTAGGATGATGCAGGGGACTGAAGTGGCTCTGTAGAGCAATTTTCTGCAAAGTTCTGCTGCTTAGAGCCAGTGGGTGGACATGAAGGGCAGTCTGGGCCCAGGCTGTGTTCTGGGCCAGGCTAGTTCTGAGCTTGGCGAGTAAGGTCAATCTTGTGTTCCTGGTATCCAAGGACCCAGGTTCTCTCTCATTAATAGTGTGATGTATGCACTGTATACCACCTTTGTTGTTTCAGGTGACTCTGGAGAGTTCTCTGGATTTGAAAGTGAATGAGCAGGAAGGACATCAGATGGTACAGACTATCTATTCCCTCCCATAGTTCATCTGCAGGAAAAAACTAGGGAAGGTTTTCCAAGAGAACTTTCTGGTTTTCCTATATAGAAGACAACTAACTGCTTCCCAAGAAGTTAGGAACAGAATGAGAATAAAGAAATGGAGAAAATAATCTCACATAACACAGTGACTGTGCCAAGCAAGACCCACTTGTTATTTTTTACAGGGTTCGGTGCCCCAGGTCTTGCACATGCCAGGCAAGCGTTCTACCACTGAGCCACACCCCAAGCCCCAGAACCCTCTGTCAGATCTGGGACTGTCTCCTCGCCAGGTCAGCAGCCCCAGCCTGGTCTGCTTCCAAGGCTTGGTTCATACAGCCCTCCAGAGTGACAGACACAGAGGGCCTTTCTCCTTTGGAGAGTAACAAGAAATGAGAACACAGGAAACTTGGCCATGTCATAGAAGGTACCAGGAAACTGTGATTTACAAGGAAAAGTGCACATGCTTCCACTGTCTTCATAAAGGGTAGTACTAAGCCCTGTGATCTGGCAGTCCATTCACTCAACCAATTCCAGGAACATTCTCAGCGTTCTGGCTGCAGAGGTGACCTCCAGTAGTGGCAGAAGGGGGAAGGAGCAAGATCCAGGCTTCCTCATCCAAGTTGCTGGACAGGCATGTGGCAGGGAGTAGGGCCCAGGTGTTGGAGGGTATGGCTGCCATGGTGAGACTACAAGAGCCAATGACAACTTGACCTTCAAGGGCAGCCTGGAAACAGCAACTGAACCACAGGGGCCTTTCACCCACTGCTGCCTCCATGGCAGCAATGAGAGATAATCTAAACTGCCTTTTTATAACCCAGCCCTTAGTCAGCTTCTCCCACTGGGATAGGAGTTCAGACAGGGCATGGGAGAGACACAGTAGCAACCTCAATGTCCCAAAAACTCATGACTGAGGATATAAGAGTCACTGAGTAGGGGAGGGGTACAGGGGCACTTGGGGCTTCCAGGAACTGGGTTCGGTGCCCCTCGTGTGCTCCTAAAGTCTCTTCTTAATTAGTTTCTCAAGTTTGCGGATGCGAGATGATTCCTGCTCTGGTGTAGGAGCCATCAGGGACAGAGAGCTGGAGCCATCTGCCCCTGAGGGCGGGGTGGGAAGTCTCTGGCGCAGGAGTTCCAGCATGTTGCTCTGTTCACTTCTCTTCAGCCCCTGAGGGTGGAAGAGAGAGGAGAGTTAGTGGTCAGGAGGTGGCTCTGCAATAGCCCAAAGAGAGAGTGCACCTCTGGGTCTGCTGTTGGCATGGCTTCTACCATCAGCATAATTATTTCAGGCTAAGGACAAAAGCTTTCTTCAGAGAAATTATCAGCCTTCAGTAGTAGCCTGGGAGAAAGTGGAGGAAGGAAATGAGGAAGGAAATAATGAAGGAATTGGGTAGGAGAGAAAGAAAGAGTGAAGAAAGGAGGACAGGTAAAGATGGAAGGATGATCTCCCTGCTCCTTCCATTCTGTCCTCTCCTGAGCAGTAGCTTCCAAGCATGCAGGGTGGTCCAGAACCCTGAAGCTAACATGCCCAGGACTACCCTCCTGGAATCCAGGTTGCAGGGAGGACTAGCAACATGGATTTTTTTTTTTGTACTGGAGATGGAATCCAGAAGTGCTCTACCACTTATCTATATCCCCAGCCCCTTTTTATTTTTTAAAGACAGTGTCTCGCTAAATTGCTGAGGCTGGCCTTAAACTTGTGATCTTCCTACCTCAGCCTCCTGAGTTGCTGGGATTTCAACCCACCACTCTGGGTCTACAACTTGCATTTTTGAGGCAGCCCCTCCATAACCCATATCCCACCCCCTAGAGTAAGAAGGATGAGTAGGAGTTGACAAGAAAAGATACTGAGCTCACCTTCATGTCCAGTATCTTCTGGAAGGTTTCTGTGTTACAGTCTGTAAGGAGTTTGATGTAGTTGTCCACAAACACCACCAATGGTTCATGGGGGGCCATCACTACCTACCAAGGGAAGGGACACAGTAGGCCCTTAAGGCTCATTCTAGGCAAATGTTCTACCTCTGAGCCACACCCCCAGCCCCTAAGCCTTATTTTATATTTTATTTAGAGATAGGGTCTCACTAAGTTGCTTAGCACCTTGCCATTGCTGAGGCTGGCTTTGAACTCACAATCCTCCTGCCTCGGCCTCCCAAGCCATTGGGATTACAGGGTACACCAGTGTACTTGGAGGATTGCCATTTTTTTGTTTTTGTTTTTTGGTGGTGCTGGGGATTGAACTCAGGGTCTTGTGCATGCGAGGCAAGCACTCTACCAACTGAGCTATATCCCCAGCCCCCCCCCCTTTTTTTTGGTACCAAGGATTGAACTCAGGGGCACTCAACCACTGAACCACATCCCCAGCCCTATTTGTATTTTATTTAGAGACAGGGTCTCACTGAGTTGCTTAGTGCCTCGCTGTTGCTGAGGCTGGCTTTGAACTTAGGATCCTCCTGCCTCAGCCTCCCAATCCACTGGGATTACAGGCGTGTGCCACTGTAACCCTCTGGAGGACTGCTTTTTAATGTGCAGATTTCTGGGTCTCTTTTCTGTGTATTCTAATTCAGTGGGTCTGGGCAGGAGATGTTTTTAAAAAATAGGGACCATTTGGGAAACACAATGTCAAAGGTCTCCGGTTGGACCTTTCATGGGTACCTAGTGCCTGCTCCTTCTGTCATTTTGTTGTTGTTGTTTTGTTATTTTGGTACTGGGGAGTGAACCCAGGAGAGTTTTACCATTGAGCTATACCCCCAGCCCTTTTTATTTTTTGAGACAGGGTCTCATTAAGAGGCTTAAGGCCTAAATTTCTGAGGCTGGCCTTGAACTTGTGATCCTCCTGCCTAAGCTTCCTGAGTCACTGGGATTACAGGTGTGTGCCATACCCAACTCCTTCTGTCTATTCTTGACAATCGGGCAACAAAAGGAATTGATGGGAGTGGATCTTCTCAAAAACAAAAATCCCAAAGGTTCCTTACTCTTTTGAAGACCTAAAATCTGGAACTTCATTTAACTACATTTACTTAAACTACCAATTAATATACAAACAGATGGCACTGCAACCCTCAGATTCATTTCCATTTGGTTTTGGAAAGCAGAATCTGATTTTTCTTCCCTCAGCAAAATAATTTTATTTTGAATTCCTGAGAATGTACGGGAGCAGTGAGGAGTATCTCCCTCAAAAGTCCTTGGCAGATCACTCCCAAACTGTATGCTCTCTCTGCAGAGAGGACACCAGCTGGAGAAGAATTCATCAGGCTACTTCCAGTTTCCTCAGGCCATGGCTCAAGGCTTATGCAGGGCCTTTGCCTGGTCCCATGGTGTCTGTGGGCTGCTGCTACTGTTTTTTCCTGTCATCATTTGAGTTATTGTTTGGGAAGAGAGCCTGAAGAGCCTACAGGCCCTGGACTTTCAGGCCTTATCAGGTAGTACTATTTGTTCTCTAGCCTCTGCCCCTCTTCTCATGTTATCGTTGGAAATCATGGTAGGTGTTCAAGACATTCTTGACAGCACCAGCTGAAGTACAATATCTTGTTAAGTGATGCTAAAATCAAAACAAAGAAACAAACAAAAAACCCATTTGCTGATTAGATTCTGTTACCACAACACTGTTGAGTTCATTTAAAGATGGTAAAGCACAGATAGCCAAAAAGGCTTATGTGGGAGGGGAGGATAACTGATGTTCCTGCTGAGAGGCAAAGTTCCTAACTTATACAACTTGATTCACAATGGCAACTCCTTCTAACTCTCAGTCTTGGCCAAATCTTATTACAAGAAAATCTCATGACAACAAAGAATTCCTTCGTCTGAAAGAATTACTGGTCCCCAAGTAATTGTCCACTGACTTCAAATAATATCTGATGAGGCCAACATTTAGTCTAAACAAAGGATGCAGATGATCCTTAGGACTGGTGGGGATAGGCCTTATGCTGGGCTTTCAAAATCAGAACCCCCTGGATATGGGATTAGATATATGACCAGTTCCTTAAAACAGGATCCTTGAGGAAGACACAATCATTACCTTGAGGATCATCTCAGCCCGGGTCATGCCTTTCACGACAATCTTAGTGTAACTGGCAGGTGCCTTCCTCACCACCTGTGAGCCAATGGAAGGGAGGTCGAGCAGGACCATCTTCAGGGAGTGGGTGTCCAGCAGCAGCTGTGGGGAAAGCAGTGTGTTACCAGCCACTTCACAGAGACATGACAACTAATGAATCCATCAGATTAATCACATTTTCCTAATTATATACATAATATACTCTCATTGCAGAAAATATGGAAAATAAACAACAAAAAATACTTTTAATTTCTTTATTCTGGGAAAATAAGAAACTACAGTTAAATGTGGTAAAATTCCTGCTGTTCAGTTTGTGCACTTAAAACTAAATCAGAATCAATATTCTGTGCATGTGTATATATGTATGTATACAGTTTTATAACCTGGGTTTTCCACTTTAACATATAAAGTTTTTGTATTTCCCATCTTGGCAGTCTGGAAAAAATCATGAAGCTGGGCATAATGGTGCACGCCTGGAATCCCAGCTACTTGGGAGGCTGAAGCAGGAGGATCTCAAGATTGAAGCCAGCCTCAGCAACCTAGTGAGACCCTGCCTCAAAGTAAAAAAGGGCTGGGGATGTAGCTCAGTTGTAGAGTGCTTGCCTAACATGTGTGAGGCCCTGGGCTCAATATCCAGTATTGGGAAAAAAAATCATGATTTTTTAATGGCTATACAATATTCTGTAGGGTGTGTGTGTGTGTGTGTGTGTGTGTTTAAGATATTAAACCATCTATTTAGTTTGTTCCTAGATTTTATCATTAATAATAAATAGTGGGCTGGGGTTGTGGCTCAGCGGTACAGTGGTTGCCTTGCATGTGTGAGGCACTGGGTTCAATCCTCAGCATCACATAAATAAATAAAATGAAGATGTATTTTTAAAAAAATAACAAATGGTGAGGTAGTGGACAGCCCTGTACACATATTCTAGGTGCATGAATGGCAGTCTTTGGGAGAGGCCAAAGCAGTACATTTTTAGGGTTCCTGACACATATGAACCTCTTTTTATACACAGATATTTTATATATATATATATATGTGTGTGTGTGTGCATATATATATATATATATATATATACACACACACACACACACACAATATCCCTATTTTTTTATTTTTTTATGTGGTGCTGAGGATCGAACCCAGTGCCTCATGTGTGCCAAGTGAGCACATTATCACTGAGCCCTAGACCAGCCTCACATCTGAACCTCTTTACAAATGAAGAATACATACACACTTGCTAGCAGCCCAGGCTCACTCTCATCAGCAATGAAAACTTTCATAAATATATTGGTTATTCATTAGGCAAAAAATGGTAATTTACTATCGCTGTTTTTAGATTTTTTTTTTCCTGGATGCTAGTGAGAATGTAGGAGAGTTAACCAAATTTAAATAAGTCTTTGCAACAATCCACCTTTTCCTGTTTGTTCTGGATGCTAATTATTTGGAAGGCTATCAACTTTTCTGTCTGACCACCAATGGCTAGGAATGATGCTAGGAATATTTTATCACATTTAGCATTTAGTCTTCATCTTGTTTGTTTGTTTTGGGATTGGGAACTGAACCCAGGGTCTTCAGCATGGCAGGCCAGTGCTGTACCACTGAACTACATCACAAGCCATTTTTAAAATTTTATTTTGAGACATGGTCTAAGTGGCAGAGGCTGGTCTTGGACTTTTGATCCTCTTGCCTTAGTCTTGCAAGTAGCTGGGATTACAGGTGTAAGTCACTGTGCCCAGCTGCTTATCACATTCAGTTTTCATGAGGCCCTGTCCTTATGAAGGTAGTTATTTCTATTTTATAGATGAGAACATCAATGATCCATATGTTTAATAACTTGCCAAGACAAACTAATGAACAAGAGACACTATTACTGTAAGGCTATGGTAATTATAATTTTGACAATGGAAAAAAGGCTCTGGGAAGACATCAGTGTTTTATCTAGAACAACTTAGGTGGCACAGAGGTGCACACCTGTAATCCAAACTACTTGGGAGCTTGAGGCAGGAGGACTGAAATTTCTAGACCAGTCTTGGCAATTTAGTGACACTGTCTCAAAAAAGAAAAAAGAAACAACAACAACAACAACAAAACCACAAACCAGAAGAGGCTAAGTATAATATTGACCAAGGAATGATATGCAGAACACATAAAAATTCCTACAGATCAAGAAGAAAAAGACTGGGGTTGGGGATGTAGCTCAGTGTTAAGAGCGCATGCTCCTCATGAGTGAGACCCTAAAAATTCAATCTCTAGCACACACACACACACACAAAAAAAAATCAATGAGACAAAAGAATACAAATAGGTAATTCACATAAGAGGAAACTCAAATGCCCAAAAGGCATTGCATTATTAGTAATTGGTAAATGCCAATTAAAACTATAAATACAGGGGCTGGGGATGTGGTTCAAGTGGTAGTGTGCTTGCCTAGCATGAGTGAGGCACTGGGTTCGATTCTCAGCACCACATAAAAAAAATAAATAAAAAACCCAAAGATATTGTGTCCACCTAAAACTAAAAAATAAATATTAAAAAAACTATAAATACATGTCATTCATATCTATCAGACAGTCAAAAATTTTAAAGTTTGATAAAGAAAAAGACTGGGTTTGGGGTGTAGCTCACTGGTAGAGGGCTTGCCTAGCATGCATAAGGCACTGGGTTTGATGCCCAGGACTATTAAAACAAACAAACAAACTTGAAATGGATGTGGCATTGAAATTCAAACTTATAGTGACTATAAATTGATACAAGCATGAAAACAGTAATATCATCTTGCTTGAAGATACTTATAACCTAATAGAGCATTTTTACTTACATCCTTTAGAGAACTTGACCATGTAAAAAAATGTTCTCTACACCCACTGTTTGCAAAATATTGGAAACAATTTAAGTGTCCATAAAAAAGAGAATGAATAAACAAATGGTGGCATATTTATGCAATGGAATATGATGCTGAAGTTAAAATGAGTGAACACAAATGACACACATCAACATGAATTAATCTCAAAAAACATTGAATTGGGGAAAATAAGCAAGAGGGGAAAGGACATGTATGGTATGATTTATACAAAGCTTAGAAATAAGCAAAACAAAATCATGTATCATTTGGGAATATATATACACATATAACATACCAAAACACTTATGGGAATGGAAAAATCAAAATGAGAGTGGTGTTTACCTCTGGGCACGGACAGAGGATAATGGCAGGGTGGAATCCACAGGAGGCTTCAGCAATAACTGTTAACGATTTACTTTACATTAAAAAAAAAAAAAAAAAAACTACAGAAAAAGTGGGAACATGTCACAGATTTTACTAAGTGGTGAGCTGATGTTCTTTACATTATTTTCAATACTTTTATTAACAGGAAATATCTTTATTTTTCTTAAAGTACGCCATTTGAGGCCTGGCAACTTTGTCTTCGATATAGCAAATTTTAAGAGCCTTGTCAAAATCAAAGTCACGTCTTGGCATTTATTTGTTGGCAGGAAAAAAAAAATACCCAATGATTGTATTTTAAAACATATGGGGATACTTTCTACTTTTCTATTTTTTAAAAATATTTTTTTAGTTGTCAATGGACCTTTATTTATTGATATATGGTGCTGAGAATCAAACCCAGTGCCTCATACATGCTAGGCAAGCACTCTGCCACAAGTCACAACCCCAGCCCTACTTTTCTATTTTTTTACTTTCCAAAATATATAATATTTATATATAATATATATAATATTTAATATATATAAATTTCCAATTTATATATTATATATAAATAATTGTATAGTTTTAAGTGACAAGATGAGTTTTGAATGAACCAGAAATAATTCTGTTGTTAGGGGTGATGGACTGGGGATTAAACCTGGGGGCACTTTACCACTGAGATATATACCCACCCTTATTTATTTACTTATATATTTATTTATTTTGAGACAGAGTCTAAGTTGATGAGGCTGGCCTCAAACTTGTGATCCTTCTGCCTCAGCCTTCCAAGTCACTAGGATTATACATGTCCACCACCACATCTGGCACAAGACATCCCTGGCCAGTGACAATAAAATTATGACTTTACCAGACAGATGAAGAGATGAAAACCTTGACCTCAGGTTTTACGTAAGTGATGTAGACAGAAAAGAGGAACTAGCAGCTGTCTGTGGGGAAGTAAAGATAAAAGGTCCCATTTATCATGAAAATCTGCCCCAAGTTTCACCTCTGAAAACAGCCAATAGTTCATCTCTTTAGGCCCGAGGCACTGAGCAAGAAGGCCATTGCCAAATTTGTTTGTGCCTCAGAGGTATTTGGGGTGGTGCTCCTGGGTGCTGCTGGTGAGCTGCTGAGGTGCAATGTTGGCCAGAGTGCTGTGTCTGCAAAAATGAAGTCAATGAGGGCCCCAGGGTTTGATGCCCAGCTCTGCAAAGAGCCTCACTTCTTGTTTTGTTTTTTGATACTGGGGATCGAATCGAGGGACACTTAACCACTGAGCAACACCCCGAGTCATTTTATATTTTATTTTGAGACTGGGTCTCGCCAAGTTGCTTAGGGCTTCTCTAAGTTGCTGATGCTAGCCTCCCACTTGTGATCCTCTTGCCTTAGCCTCCTGAGTCGCTGGGATTACAGATGTGCATCACCTTGCCCAGTGAGCCTCACTTCTTAAACTGCCTTCTGCAATTTTGGGGGACACTATAGCTACTGGTAGGGATGAAAAGTCTTAAGTAGAGAAGCTAAAGGCACACCCCTAGAAGGTGAGGAACCATATATGTGCTGCAAAGTTCTTCAGTGAGGTGGCATAGGGAGACTAGGTCAAGATATCACGAATGGACCAAGGTGGGGACAATATATCTTGCTTCTTAGCTCTTTCAACTTTGTCACTGTTTTTTTTTTTTCTTTTGCAGTGCTGGGTTTGATCAAACCCCAGGGCCAGGAGCTACATCACCAGTTCCTCCCCCCACCTTCTTTTTTTTGGGGGGGTAGTGGGGATTGAACTCAGAGGCACTCAACCAGCCACATCCCCAGCCCTATTTTGTATTTTATTAGAGACAGGGTCTCACTGAGTTGTTTAACACCTCACTGTTGCTGAGGCTGACTTTGAACTCATGATCC